TCCCGCGCGGCACAGATGACGGTCTCCTCTCCCATTCCCTGCAGGCTGCCCTGAGCGCCACAGACATGGCCCTGGCCCTCAATCGGTACCTCTGCACGGCTGTGCTGCCCTTGTTGACCAGGTGCGCTCCTCTGTTTGCGGGCACCGAGCACCACGCTTCGCTCATCGACTCCTTACTTCACACAGTGTACAGACTCTCTAAGGGCTGTTCACTTACCAAAGCTCAGCGGGACTCCATCGAAGTGTGTCTGCTCTCCATTTGTGGGTAAGTGAGTGGGCAGTGACGTCTATACCAAGTTTCTCCTTCTTTAAGGAAGAAAATTTACTCTGCACCCTTGACAAATTGTCATGAATTTTGGCAACAATTTCTGGACAAAAAAATGAATTCATTCTATGGACTTTTGTGTCCTGAGGCTTGATTCTTGCCTGTGCACCCTTGCTCCTGGTCAGGGTCAGGAAGACTCCTCCACGACTTTCTGGGCATCCAGCCATTGGATGCCGTGTTGGACGAGGATGCGCTTCTGGGTGTTGGTGGGGAGGTGATGGTGTGAGGAGTCCCTGGCCACCTTAGTGTAAGATTGTAGACTCCCCCCTTTTGACTGTGTGTGATGGTTTTAACTCCTCTTCCAGAAGAGAAGAGGAGAAGGGAGACTTAATAAAGATACAGTATAATATTAAAGCATTACCTGTGTGTGACAATGATGAAGACTCCTTCCTCCAGCCTGGAAAGCCACCTCCTGGAGACAGAGGTGTTTGGAGGTCTTCCAGTGAAAACCAGAAGCGTGTCCTCACCTTCTGAAGTTCTGGCAGCGCAAGTGGCTGTTTCTCAGGCCGTTGCTCGGGTAGCGGTTTCTTTCTAGTTGACAGGAGCCCTTGTGGGGTGAACGCTCCAGCCAGCACGTTGTGAAGGGAAGGTCTCTGTCACTCATGATGGAGTGAGTGATGGATTTAGAAGCCAGATGCGGCTGAGAGAGGTTAAAAAAAAAAGGGAAATTACTTCATATCTTCCCTGACCCTACATTTCTGTAAAATGGAATCAAAATACTGATTTCGCAGATTATTTTTTCTAAATATTAGGTAAGATGAAGCACTTAGAGTTGCCCAACACAGTGGACGTTCACTGTGTGTTCATTTTCTTTCCTTCCTCTCTGGCAAGGTTTCTGTCTCAGTCTGTTTCTGTCCTTTCTGCTCCTTATCTGGTCCCTGCAGACCCTTCGCACCCACTGCAGTCAGGGAAGAAGCACTTACTAAATTAACAGGAGCAGTGGGGTCTGTAGCTGGGAGTGGTGGGCAGGGCAGGTGCAGAGGGAGAGCAGCTCCTGTAGCAAATGAGGACTGGTCTGCAGATCCGGGGCTGAAAGTGAGCCGGAGCCTTTTATAAGGTTCTGTAACTATTGGTTAACCCTCGGATTAGAAACCCCTAAAATTAGCATCATCTGAAGAGACACATAGGTCCAGGTTCTTGGCGTGTATAATCACATGAATTGTCTCCTTAGCTTAAACATCATCAAATGCCCATTGTTAAAGCTAGCTCTGTTCCCCCAGCCAACTGAGACCTTCTATGATGCAGCACTTGCTCAGAAGATTAGTGTTTGATGTTCCACTATTAAATGAACATGCAAAGATGCCTCTTAAGGTAAGTGCGGGAAATGTTTGTCGTGATTTGATTACTGGATCCTCCGACTTTGCTTCCTGTTACAACATGTACATTTGGTACATATATCGTATTTTGATGCTGGAAAACCCCCAGTTATTGAAATGGGCATGTAAGTTATAGATACGTGTACCTCAACTGAAAATAAACAGTGGAAGACCAGAGAAAGGCTAAGGTTGATTTACTGTAAGTCAGTGGAAATGGAAACCAATGGGAAAAAACGGGCCACAAGGGAAAGGTGAGCCGGGACATTCTCAGGCTGGCACACGTGGCGCAAGGCCTGGCCTCCTGTGTCCGCCGCCTCCAGGGATAAAGAGCAGGCTTTAACAGCACTTCCCAAGTTGGTCATCAGATGACAGCCTCCAAATACCATTTCATGAGGTTCAAAGGTGGTCTGTCTGTATATGCTGTTACACTCTGTCAGAGAAGGTAGGAAGGTCACTGCATTTTCTCCACCCGGCTTCGTCGTTCTGTTCGTGAACAGTCTCGTCTCATGCTGTCTTACTGACTTGGGGATATTTTCCCATCACCTGATGCCCCGCTCCAGACTCAGGGTTAAGGTATTAGGTGTCTGCTAATACATCTGGCAGTGCGGTCTGTGCGTGGAGGCCATTGTACGGGTGCGGACTTTTAAAGGTGGCCACCCTGCTCTGCCAACTGTTGAGCCTCATTTTTCCCTCTTGGCCACCCAGGAGTAATGCTGCAAAAGGAGGCCTGAGGTAAAAGTGAGCTGCTGTTACACTAAGCACACCTGGATATTTAACAAAAACAGTCTTTCTCTATAAAAATTGATTTTGCTTTAATAAATTTAGAGAAATTAATGAATTACACAAAGTATATTATACCCTTGCTGAATACCCCATCTTTACAGTTTTTATCACCTAGGATAGTGCTTGTCATGCAAAATTTTCTTGATACAAGTAAGCTGGACCCTGTAATAAGATACAGTAGCATTTTATGTGATAAAAGTCTTTTTTGCATTATAGATATTTCCATGTTACTCCAAGCAAATTAGTTCCCTGTATTTCATCATTTGAGATTCCTAAATTTTGTGTGTATGTGTGTTCTGTAACTGAGAGGGAAACCAAACAAGAAGAAGTATTTCTACAGTAAGAGATTAGTTAGCTTTAAATAAGAGTAATCCTTATTAATTTATTTTCCTTCTTAGATATAGGAAAGAGTTCAAAAATTTATAGTTGATTCAAAGATCATTGTATTAATTTGGCAAATAGTTGTGACTATTTCTTGGTTTATAAGTCATGAATAAGTTATCCAAAGAGCTACCAAGAGATTGAAACATTCTATTGTTGCCTTTGAATTTCCAATTTAGTCCTCCAAAATATTTATAAATAAAAACTTAATCAACATAGACATTCAGTAAGATAAAAAATTACATCCAGAACCACCCAAGATATGTAGATTAAGAAATTTTTGGAGTAGGGCAGTTTGGGAAGTTTACTTAGAAATGTCAGTTCTGAAGCAAATAATAAAGTGTGGAGATTAAGGACAGGCAGAGAAGAAGCAAAAATATTCAGCAGTGTTGTCCCTGAGAATGCACATTTTAGCTGCTGTATGCTAGAGATACTTACATGTGCCTTTGGGTCACCCTGACTTCAATCCCTTTGTTACCTGCGTGGATTCCAGGGGATAACAGTTCATAGACTTCTGAGCATATGGTAGCAACTGAAGTAGAATACACAGATAACCAAACAACCTCATAGAGAATGCTGTGCAAGATAGAGTTATTTGTGAAATTGGATGCGTGGTCTTCATACTGTGATCAGAGTTAAATTTTAAAGAGACATCATATACAAGGGAATACTATTCCCCCAGAGAATTCCTGTGGGCTCGAATGGCTTCATTTCAGTTGGCCTTATTGCAGGACCTTAGAATGTCATTTGGGAGGAAATGAGAAAAATGTAAGAGGTGTCCTTAGCTCAGTGCTTTTATAATTGTTTTCCCACCCAGCTGCTGACAAATCATTATGAAAGATGCTGGAAATATTACTGCCTGCCTGGAGGGTGGGGAAGCTTTGGAGCTGCCTCAGAAGAAGAACTTCATTTATCAAGAAAGTTGTTCTGGGGCATTTTTGACGCGCTGTCTCAAAAGGTAATTTAATATTTTGTGGGTTTATTTGTGTAATAAAATAATGTAAAAGTCATAGGCTCTTCGTAAGAGAGTATTCCTAGTGGAATGGTGGGATGCTATGTTTGCTTTTGAAGATTGACATAGTTTTAATTTTTCTCTTAATTTATAACACATGTTGAAAATGCAATTTATATTGACTTTGCATAACATTATGGTAACATGTTCCTTGTGATTGTAATACTTTCTGATTTTAAGATGGCTAAGCATTTTGGAAAATGAGGCACATGGGTTGATAAGTTTCTGGTGCACTTGGACTTACTTGGACTCAAACCCTCCCTAGTTAGTCGCCTCTCCAACCTTATAAAGCCTGAAGAAATCCTATCAAACGTAAAAATATGAAATACTGAGTCTCATAAAAGTATCATATTCCAGCGGCCTTACTGACTTTCGTGCTTCGCTGCTGTGGAGATTGAAGTACCTGCACTCAGTGTTGCTTAATGCACGTGGCGTTCCCTTTCAGTTGCCATGTTTATGAATGAACAGTTCATACACTTTCAGACGACAGGAGCGTAGTATTTCAGAGAGAAGCAGGACAGCGTGCCTTGTATGCTTACGCTTAAGTTAGTAACATCCAAAATCAATTTGAATTTGCAGGCAGGCATTGTCAGATGACCGAAATAGTGTAACCAGAAGTTCGTTACATGATGAGGGAGTTTTATCTGTGATTACATTTTTTTTTTTTCTTGCTGAATTGCCTTTGGTAAACCAAGAGCCCTTTTAAAATAACATGTAGAAGGTAATTTTAGATGAATTTGCAACTTTAATTGAAAACTGATCCTTTAAAGTGAGATAACTTAAATAATTACTATTTTTGATTTTTTAGAAACCTACAAATACAAATTTAACTAATTATGTAACTAATATACAAATACTTTGTGAAAGTTTTGATTATGCATTTTTCCTATAGAATTTCTTTCTCAGTTCAGAGTTTTATTTTTCATACCTTTGTAACACAATACAGATTGTTAAAATTTCTTACTCTCTGGGATGTTACGCTTTAGGTATTTTTCATGTATAGGCTTTATAACATGGTGCAGCAATGATCTATAGCTACCTGGAAGGATCATATCGTTGAAATTATGTCTATGTATGTAAGGACATACACTTAAAATAGTCAAGGTCACTTCATTTCGAATATTGGAGAATAAACTTTTAGAGAAACAAAGATTTGATTCTTCTTATGGTACAATGGCAATAAAAAGCTTCCATTTCTCCTATGTTTGATGGGATTTCAGGCTGTATTTTCCATTTTCCAGAAAAAGAACCTGTTGGGGAGTTGAGTTAGCCCAGGATAATTCATATTTTCTCCTACAACATCATATTAGCTGCAGGGATCAGGTTGACAACTTTTGCTAAGTAGTCATGGAGTATTTATTTTTTCGGTCCTCCGTTTCTTCCCAGAAATATGAACAAGAACTTTTCAAACTGGCACTGCCTTGCCTGAGCGCAGTTGCAGGAGCTTTGCCCCCAGACTACATGGAGTCAAATTATGTCAGTATGATGGAAAAACAGTCATCAATGGATTCTGAAGGGAACTTTAACCCACAACCTGTTGATACCTCAAAGTATGGACTCTTTCTATTGCAGCAGATTTTTATTGTAAATGATGTGTGAAGTCTGAAATTGAATAAGGTACTAAAGTGAACTTTCTCTAATCCATGCCCCCTTATATCCCGAATATCAGAGGTAGATAAGATGTATCGTCTAAGGGATCCACTCTTAATGCAATCAGGATTCTCTGTGTGTAACCACGTGGTAAGCTCTATAATAATGAGAGTCAAGGAAGTATATCAGTTACATTTATAGTTGAAATTTTGCCCTGAATGTTTATTAATCATTACAGCCAACCCGTGTAGAGTCTGTGGCTCGGGATGCTCCCAGCACACAGCGCAAAGCTGTTTCCGTGAGCCGCAGGACATCACTTCACCGTCACTACATCGAGGCCTTAGCAAGGCCTAGGGTTAGCAGCCAGTGTTCAGCATCGTCAAGCACAGCATGAGAGTGCAGGGAACGTCAAGTGAGAACATTTGCGGACAGTTCAGCATGCGGTCAGAAGGCAGTGTGACAGCCTTAACCACAGATCACACGTTGCTTAACGTCAGGAAGCTTCTTCCACGTACCTACTTGCACAAGTTGTTCCACAGACCGGGCGTCTGGGCCCGTCAGGGGTTTGGAGTCTCAGCACTTCCGTTGTTGTTACCATCTTCAAGTAGGACCCTGGTTTCCCACGTGCAGGGAAGCGGCTCTTCACGCCACCTTATCTTACCCGTTCCTTGGTGACTCTGTGAGATCACGATTAGCCTGGTAGTCACTTGATAGTTAACCATCCTCAGAGTCTGAATGTGCTGGGAGTTCAACTTCCAGGCCTCTGGGTGGCCCCCTGGCTGGTTTAGCTTTCTACCAGATCAGAAGTCAACCCAAGTGGTATGCCATTAGTTTGATAATGCCTTAAATTTGCATGTTTGGTATTGATGACAGTCCTGTGAGAAAGACTCCACCCACCCAGGGTTTGGCTTATGTGATTGATCCTTTGTATCTCTTCTAAAGTAAGTAAACCAAAATATCACATGTGCACATTGCTACGTGGGTAAGTTGGTGGTTTGCTCACATACCATGTCATCCAGGATTTTAAAATAACATCAGAACAATGTCATGACTTCGGTGTTGATTAATAACATCCTATTAGTTAATAAACGTTGGGCATGTACACTAATTTACCTAGGCGTGCCCCTTTGGGGGCCTCTTAACAGGTTAGGTTTGCATAGTAATGTCAGTAATTTCTACATTTCTGTGATTTTTACATACTGTGTTTTAAGTATGTGTATGTCCTGTCGTTCAGTTACTAACTGATAACATTGGTGGAAAAGAATAGTAAACCATCTCATTGTTCTAGGTTTCCCTTGCCATTCTATTCTCAAAGTAAATTGCATTAACATATTTTCATTAATGAATGGAATTACATGCATATTTAATTTTCCATTCATAGACCTATGTGATATTCCCAAGTCTTAGATTTACCATCAGATTTACCATCAGACTTGGTCACCAGTTGCATGGACTCAGCACTTGTTCAAGGGATTAAGTATTCATTTAAACAGGAAAGAAATCAAGAAGTGTTACAAAATCATAAAGCATGAATCAGTTAATTACTTTTTTCCCTCTAGTTCATACTAGTAACATACAGAATTTATATATCGACCATTAACATTTAAAATCATTAACACACCACTAGTTGTATGAAATTAATGTAAAATTTACAAAAGGTAACAGGTGAGATTTCAGCATTTATAGTTGTAGCAGAAGAGACTTAAGTCAAAAAGGAAAAATAACTTCACAAGAATAACGAATATGGGAGAGAAGTATGTCTTTACGCTTGTTGAATCTAACTGTATCTTCATTCAGATTTTTTGAAACTTTTGGTATAATCTATTGTTCTCGTCTTTGAATACATTTTAATTATTTTTACTTATTCTTTGTGTAATTGTTCTTGTATATAACTTACATGAAGACATCAAGTATGAATCAATATAAGATGAGCAGATAGAACATTATCTGCTTGATTTTTCTTATATTGTTCCTACAATATGGAAAGTTAGACCTTGTTAAAACAGTTTAAGTCATGCATTGAATGGGATTTAAGCAATCATAAGCTGTGAGTAAATTATTAATATGATTCCTTGTAAGTCCTGTGAAAATCAAGCCTTTCTTTGTTTGTTTTTCTCATAGTATCACAATTCCTGAGAAGTTGGAGTACTTCATTAGCAAATATGCAGAGCATTCCCATGACAAATGGTCGATGGACAAGGTAAAAGTCAGAATGTCCCCTTTTATTCAGTAGTGAACGTACCTAATGACTGGCCATGGCTCAGACATTTCTGACCATGACAGTTTTCCACTGAAAAGTGAGAGCTTCAGATTTGGAAAGAATGTTTAATTATGATATGTTAAAATAATATTTAGCCTAATATAATATTTAGTTCTGCCACTGATACACATATTACACATACACAGATAAGAATATTTAAGTTCATAAAAAAGCACAGTGCTAAAAATTCAAAAAATATATCAGTTAAATCATGTATGTTTCTAAACATACATCTTTTTGTGGGAGTAAAAAGTAATAATCATCAAGGGCTTCCGTAAGAAATGGAGAGTCTGGGTCCAGAAATCTTTTAAGGGAACTTTAGCTGTATGTGTAATTTTATATTAGATAAAGTCTTGAAAAATCATTTATCAGAGTTTAGTGATTATTTACAGCTTCTGCTCTCTGACTTCCTTCTTACGACTAAGTAGATCTGTAGTTCACTTAGCTGGGAAGATGGCAGGTTTTATTTGTTTTGTCAAGAAAAGAAAACCATTTTTTATATAGTAGTTTGTATCTGTTAATTCCAAACTTGTAATTTATCCCTCTTCGCCTTTCCCTTTTGTAAGTGTAAGTTCGTTTTCTAAACTACTGTGTATAAAATAGATAAACAGCGAGGTCCTACTATGCAGCACAGGGAACTGTATTCGGTATCTTGTAACAGCCTACAATGGAAAAGATTTGAAAAAGAATATATACATATAACTGTATCACTAGAAACTAACAGCACAACGTGGTAAATCAACTAGACTCCAATTTAAAAAAAAAAAGGAAACCAACCCGAATGAGAGAACTGAAGCAGACGCGATCTGTGACACAAGTCCTGCATGCGTATCAAGACGCTTTTCTGGAGGAGATGTCATACCAGAGCAGTTATATTTAAGTTGAACCTCGTTAAACTTGAGAGAGGCTGGTGAAAATAGACTTGTCAGAGGGATTAAGCTGAGACGATGCAGGAATCTAAAATAAGCATGTACTGATCTGGAGAAGTGAGAATCAAACAGCAGAGGGTCCAAAAGCTGCCTGTGTTACGTAGCGACCCAGCGTCACCCTGTCAAGCTTCGCGTTCTTGCCCTGGCCAGCCAGCCCTCACTCCCTCTCAGAAACCCCCTTTTTGTTTTGTTGACCCTGTGTCTCTTTGTTCAGTAATTTAGTGGATTTACTAGGTAAGTCAGTAGGAGTTAAGTATCTGTTTTATATAAAGATTCCAGTAGGTACTGAGCTGGCGGGGGTGGTGAGGGAGAGGAAATTTACAGGAAGACCGTCTTGAGCTCTTCCTGTCTCGTTACCGCATAGACAGACGTGAAACAAGATAGGGAAACAGTGATATGTGCAAAATTACATGGGCAGTAATGGAGACGAATGTACTGAAGGTGATTGAATGTAGGATCGGCAAAACAGGTAGCATTATTCAGGGAGGCTTCCAAATAAAGCAGCTGCCCCGAATCTCCTGTTTCAAATGAGCTCTCACATCCGCGTGTCACAGGACACTGCAGCCTGAGCTTCCTCTGGGTCTCTGACCTGGTCTCAGACCTGACTGAGGAGGACTGGGCACTTTTGTCTCTGGAGGAGAAGAGTTGCTCCAGGTGATTGCTCAATATCATATTGACTAGGGAGGAAGTCTGTACGTTGACTTATGCTGGATAAAATCCCAAGCAGTCCTTGTCTTGGTTCATTTTAGATTTATTTTCTCAAGTACACACTTAAACCATGCACACCTACACCCTCTAAAATTAATGCCTATAAAATGATTTTGAATTTTTTTAGTTGGCAAATGGATGGATTTATGGAGAAATATATTCAGACTCATCTAAAGTTCAGCCATTAATGAAGCCATATAAGCTGTTATCTGAAAAGGTGAGGTGTTTATTTTATTTTATTATATTTTGGGCTATACAGTTTTAATTTGAGGGGGAGAGTCTTTTCTTTGCTATGGAAATTTCTTACTAAAATGTCTTCTTTACTTTGTATATACTGTTTTTACCTTTTCTCAAAGGTCCCAGTTTTTATTTTTTTATCTTTTGTCTTTTTCTCTGCAGTCCCCTTTTTTGTCAGTATTTAATTGGTTATTTTCTTCCCTACTTAATATTTTTCTGTTTCTTTTAGATTTTTATTCCTCTCCTATATTTTTAAGAACTTTAGAAAATATTCTTAAGAGTTTTTTGATGAGGAATAATGAGGTAATCTATTTTGATACACTTATGATTTATTTTTCATGTATCTTACTTCTTTGGAGAGAAATCAAGATCTCAGTAAATCTAGTGAAAAGAATTTTCTAGCTTGGTGCTTAGGGAGGAAGTTACTTCTCTGTTTATTCAGATGGTAGAGAAGCCTTCAAGCACGTGCCATACAATCTGGCACTTTTTCTTAATTGTGTTTCTCCTTTCTAGTTTCTGTCTGAAGAACCAGGAGCTGGGAAACTAAAGGGAATTAACCTCATGCTTAATAAGCTAGGATCCCTCTTAGAAGCCAGACTCCATCTCAGCTCACACTCTGCCCTTCAGAATTTTTACTTTCCTTTTTTATTTTTAAATAAATGATGACAATCAAAAAATTTTAAGTGAAGGCAGAGTATTTCAGAACAAAGCATTAAATACTTCTTTTATTTAGGTTCATAATGCCCCACCCTTTTCTTTCTCTTTTTTTTTCTTCTTTTGCTTTTTCTTTCTTTTTCTTTTCTTTTCTTTTTTGTTTTTGTTTATGTTTCTAGGAAAAAGAAATTTATCGCTGGCCAATCAAAGAATCTTTAAAAACTATGCTGGCTTGGGGGTGGAGGATTGAAAGGACACGAGAGGGAGACAGCATGGCCCTTTACAACCGGACTCGTCGCATTTCTCAGACAAGCCAGGTGAGGGTCACGGTGTTGGCTGCATTGTTCATGTTCTTTTAAAGTGATTCCAATAGTTCATTTAATTACTGTGTTTTCCAAAACAGCTCATTTGAAAATTCTGAGGATAAACATAAAGTTTAGAAGAGGGGAAAATTCTGTTCCTTTGTCTTTACTTTTACATGCATTTAAGTCTTGGTTAACGCACTGGAATTTTGTATATCAGGTCGTGCGTCTGACAGTGTATAAAGAAGTCCCCAGTGACGGAGTCTTGAAGTTGCACTCATGAAGGGTGTAGCATGTGTTCCTCACCTCCAATTAGGTCGTCTGCAGAGCTGGGCTCCTTTCCTAAGCTTGGTTCTTAGGATCTGGATCTGAAACCTTCATGGATGTTCCATTTGAGTGAGCCCGGGCACCTGCCCACCGACGCAGGGAGGATGTGCAGCCGGCCAGGCAGAGACGCAGTCATAGGGCACACCACTGGTCACTTCAGGGAGGTCCTGCCAGTCAGGTCCCAGCTTGGCCTGGCTGTGGGGCTCAGTGCTCTGATGGGAGAGCGAGGACAGCCTTGACCCAGAGGACCTAGGGGTCAAGGTGGGGACCAGATACCAGCTGGCCCTTTCATTTCCCCTGGGAGCTAAACTTGCCATTGTCCCTTTTCAGACTGCTTGGGTCACTGTGTTTGGTTTAACCAAAGGAGTAGATTGATTATTGCCATTTTACAGATAACATTTTTGAAAAAAGAAAATGAAAGGACTGAAAGTCTGTGTTGCACCTGCTTTGTATTTGGTATATACTGTTAAATAGATTAAGTGTGGTACATAAGCTAAATATGATTTGCAGATATTTTACATTAAATTCTCTCAAGTATCATGAAGGTGGAAGCTATAAAAGCACATTTTACCTTTTTATCATGTGTGCACACATTTCTCGCTAAATTATACCTCTGCTTTAATCTGTTTGAGCAAAGATTGAGCACAAACTGAGTTCCAGGCAGTAGGAATACAAAGATAACAAGAGCCAGTCCTAACCACTCACAGTTTGGTCTTAGAGACAGACCTCCTACAGCAGTACAGTTTAGGCTGGTGGTCTGCACAAGATACGTGGAGTGCAGAGAATATTACGATCTCTTTTTTTTTCCTATAGATTATATAGGAAATAAGGAAATTATCACGTATGGAAGTAACTTGAAGCTTTGCTGGGAAACATAAGATCGATTTTCCCACTCCCCTTAATAGCAAAAACTATGTGCTCCAATTTAAAGTTGTGCATATTGAATGAGAGCTTACCCAATGAAACAATAATGATGCCAGTCCTCTCAGCCAGCACTGAAGACTAGAAATAGTAGGAGGCAGACCAGAAAAGAGATTGTCTATTAGCCGGAAAAACCGGGCCTGTGTATCCCGGCAGGAGCACAGCCCGGGGTGTGGGGGTGTGGTGGGGCGGGGAAGGGCAGCAGCGGGGTGGGGGTGGGGGCTCCATCTTCCTGTTCCTGCCTCTCCACACCTCTTCCCTGGCCCTGCTGTCAGCGCGGGCGGGCAGGGCGGCCTGCTGAGCGTGCCTCCGCCTGTCCTAGCTCTACACTTCTTCTAGAATGCCAGGGAGGTGAGAGAGCCAAGGACCAAACCACCATTCTAGCCATGCTCACCTGGAGAGGAAATAACTGGTAGAGTTCATGCTTTTGCAGGTAACCCATGTGGAAACTTCACAAGCTCCAGAGTGGTGTGGGGTCACGTCAGATAGAGAATTTCATTACAGATTTAATAAAGTGATTCTAAAACATCGAAAATTCTTACAGACTCTGTAAATTGTAATGCATAAGCTATTACCAATCCATCTTCAGAAAAGGATTACCTTTTCTTTAAAACCCCAGCAAAATCGTAATTATGTTTTGCTGAATTTCAATTGACCTTTCTCAAGATTGCTTTAAAAAACTGTGTATTTCCTCTCTTCCTTACTCCCCCTTAGCTCCTAAGGTAGCTCTCAGCGCCCATTAAACCCTCAGTGAACACTATTAACCGATACCTGTGTAACCGTCTCTTAAGTCTTACTGATCTGTAGAGACAAGTGTGATGTACGACACACACTGTTAAGTCCCCTCCATCACTTCACAATGCGAGGAGGTGCTTATGCGCGAGGCACCGAGGCAGAGTGTACAGATTCAGAGGGACGGCTCTGGAGGGGGACCACTGGACTTCAGTCCTGGGACCACTGCTTCCTAGAAATGTACTTCATCTGTTTGCCTCAGTGATGGCAACTCTTATTATTATCACCAGTATTTAAACATTTTTAATGCCAGAGAGCATTTCCTCAAAGGTAGATAAAGCCTTTATGTAGTTTGTAGTACATTGACCTTTTAGTAGTGAAAAAAAACAGGAGTATTAGTATCAGTGTCAGAAATGCAGAGTAACAAACGCCACAAACACACTTATAGTCCTTGTTATTTTCACTCCACTGTTCTTTAAACATAAACCAACATTATCTGAAATGATAAAATCATTTAATTGCTAACCTTAATTATATTGTTTGATAATCATTTCGCCAGACTTCTCGGTGTCTTTTCCACTCTGCGTTACTGATCGCCCAAGTGATTATAAAGATGCTTTCCATGGTGTAACAGGTACACTCGTTCACTTGGGTAAATGGGGGAGCACTTTTTGCGGCATCCCTGTGTAGCGGGGGCCGTCAGTGGAGGTGCTGAGATGGCGTGTGGTTGTGGCTCTGGAGCTAGATCTACTCCGCTTCCTCCCTCTGCGCTCAGCCCGCCCTCGGTGAGGTGGAGGTGCCGCTGCACAACCCAGCGAGGCCGGGCATGGCCTGTCTGGGTCAGACCCTGGCCTCACCACGGAGTCACCAGCTTCTTTGTGAGCTTGGGCAAGCTGCTCAACCTCTCTGTGCTGCAGTTTTCGCTTTTTTAAAATGAAGCAGACAAGAGCATCTAATTTAAAAGATGGCTGTGAGGATTAAATGTTGTAATGCTTATAAATCACTGAAAAGAATGACGATGTTAGACCTGATTATGATCATTGTTATCTTTTGTGGCTCAGTAGCATTATGAATGTCTTTTGTTTGCCGTGAACAGCACATGAATCATGATTCCAGGGAATTTACCACTGATTAGGGTCTTGTAATCTGTGTGTGAAGATAGCGTGTGGGCATGGGCGGAGCCAGTGATGGCCTGGTAGGGTGTAGACTAGACAGCACAAATAGCAGTGGGGTCAGCAGTGACAAGATGCTTGTTAGAGAGGGGCTGAGTGGCTGTGTTTCAACTTCTTGGTGGTCATCTCTCAAGTCAGCCTAAAAGGAGAACGTTTCTCACAGCTTCAAGCATATTCCTGAATAATTCCTTATTTACTCCCCAATTTTAATTTATTTTCTTATATCTGGCTTTTATTACATACGTATGGTATAAACTATTTAACAGATTTTAAAATTAGCCTATAACCTGAGAAGGAAAGGAAGATGGAAGTGAAACTCTGGAACGTGTTTTCCATCTTGAACCGAAAGGCAGGCCAGGACAGAGGCATAACTCATTTCTTCTTTAGGCAGACGTTTACTGAGCACCTGCTGTGTTCTGTGCACTATGTCAGCTTTTCAGATGGGTTAGTGAACAGAATAGGCCAAAACCTCTGCCCTCATGGAGCTGACATGCTAATGGGGAAAGTGATAGAAGTAAATGACATACTAGGTCAAAATACATTAAATGTTATGGAAAGAGAAGATGGCGTGGAAAAGCAGGTTGTGCGTGCATGGGCCGGGGAATTGGACAGTATTTGGGGGTGAGCTGCAGTTTTATACAGGGTTGTCAGTAGATTTCATTGAGCTGATAAATTGAATAGACTTGAAAGTGGTGAGGGAGTTACACATACTTGCGGGAAGAATGTTCCAGGTCATGCACATGAATGCTCTGAGTTGGGAGTGTGGCCTGGGACGTGAGGGTCAAGGAAGCCAGGGAGGTTGGAGCTGAGTGAGTGACAAGGAGACCGGGAGGTGGGAGGAGGGGTCTCAGGAGCCAATCAGGTAGCACTCGGGGGACATTTTAAGACGTTTGATAAGTGCTTTGGAGTCAGAAGGAATTATTTTAAAACCTTGCTTCTACTGTTGACTACATAACGATATGACTGTTAGAGGTATTTAATTCTGAACTTTTTTTTCTCAGTTTAAAATGGCAAAAAGGAATATCTACTTTTCAGAGTTTTAAAGATTAAATGAGATAATCTATGTCCCTTGAAAATACCACTCACATGGTGGTTGATGTTTGTTATGTTATTATTGCCAGTAAGGTGAGCGTTAATTAAATTCGGAGATGGTATGTATTCCAGGTAACTTGAAATTCTGCAAGACTGGCCAGTCTTCTGATTTCTGTGTATGTAAAGGAGAGAAACGGGTCATGCAAAACACGAAAAGAATCTCTCTCTGAATAAACAAATATTTACTTGTGTTCTTTAAACCAGCTTCAATAACTTACTCTAAAGCTAAAAGGACATAAATTTCTGTCATATAAGGAACAAGGTCAAAGAGGGTATTAAATACTGAAAATTTTATTTTAAGGACAAATAAAGGGATCGCTGTCAGCTCTGTTCTATTCATTCATTCAACAAAATTTGCATGGAGTCTAATACTTGTTAAATTAGTTTTAAGGCATGTTTGCCGTATTTCATTATCGACGAGATTGGGAATCAGTTTGTAATCCTAAAGTTGATGAGAGATGGCTGGGGCCTGACTCTGAGAATACTGAGATGAGTAAGGCCTGCAGACTTCACAGTGGAAAGGTTTATAACTCAGAGAATAACATAATGAGTATTTTGGAAATATAATTCCGACAACCGAGTAGAGAATGAATCAGAGGAGGAGGCTGAAGGCAGACAGACAGACGGACTCCTCAGAAGGAGATTGTATACATCCCACAGAACGAAGCAAAAACCTTGAATATCTGAGTTAGGGCAGAGACCATGGCGATGGAGGGAGGTGGTGTACCCCAGAGAGACTTTGCGGAAGAGACAGGACTGACTGATGCAGGAGGCAGGTGAGGAGGCGTGCTCAGAGGTGGTTGCTGTGGACCTGGGCTGGGCCACCAGGTGGGAGGGGCGTGTTAGGTGAGGTAGGAGCACAGCCGTGCTGGGGGCAGGAGGGAGACAAGGAGAAAATAATGCTTTTGATTTTAGCCGTTGTGTCAGGCAGAGTTCTGGCTTCCAAACAGGATTCCCAGTGGCTGGAATCTTCAGGTACTTCATATACGTGGCTTTCCTTGGGCTTTGCCAGTGTGGTCAAGGTTAATGACCTTGAGAGGGGAGAGATTGTACTGGATTATTGGTGGGTCCAGTGTAATCGGAAGGATTCTTAATGTGGGTTGGAAAAGACAGGGAAAACATTCGTCCTTACAACTTCTAGAAAGGACACAGCCCTGCTGACACCTCGAGTTTAGCTAATTGAGCCGAGACAGACGTCTCCTAGTTTGTGATGTTTTCAGCCAATTTCCCACGACTGCCTCCAGCAGCAGTAGATTAATCCACGTATGGAGTCCCCAGATGGAGATGGAGACGAATGGTTGAAAATTGACATCTGGAGCACAGGAACAATACTAGGCTAGATCAGTTAATTTTTAGGTTTAAAACGTGGTTGATGAATGAGATATTTAAAGTAGATGTGGATGTGGACACCTGGAAAAGGCTGTCTACAGCCGAAGAGTGAAGCAGAAAGCCACAGGTAGTGAAAGGCAACTTATGGAAGAGGAGGCAGAGAAGGGACCTGAGAAAAAGACGTGGGAGAGGAGAGCGGGGGTGGGAGGGGCGGTTCCCGGCATTTGTGGAATTAAAGAGGCAGCTGGCCAGCAGTGGTCAGCAGTGTCCAGCCTAGAAGGACCAGTTTGATGGCAGCTGGAAAGAGGACTTGAATTGAGCATCTTGCAAACTGGTAACATGAGAGAGGGCAGTTGTGGGCCGGCGAGTGCTGGGGTAAGAGCTGTGCTGCGCTATGTTGAGGGAAGGAGGAACGAGAGAAGACGTCCTGAGTTGGAGCCTTGCCTGCTCAGAGCTTTAGCTCTGTGGCCTTGGGTGAGACTCAGTTTTCTTACAAGGACACTTAAAGGAGAGAAAATGTGATTTTATTACACATTCTATTCTCAGTACTGGCACAGAAGCCAAGGTTCAGTCAAAACTGACCAGTCTGTTGCGTGTAGCCCATGAGAACATTACGATAGCATAGGACAACCCCTTTGTGTTCTGCAGGCCCGGATCTGAGCCATTTGGTACCTTTGATTTGGGTTTTGGTTTTGTTCTTTTTGGTGGGGGGCAGGTAATTAGGTGTATGTATGTATGTATGTATGCATTTAATGGAGGTGCTGGGGATTGAACCCAGGGCCTCATGCATGCTAGGCATGTGCTCTACCCCTGAGCTGTACCCTCCCGTTTGTACATTTTATTTTGTTTTTTTGCTTATCCATGTCTAACAAGAGAATATACACAATTACGAAATATATCAAGATAGAATTTTAGACTTAAAAGCATGAACCAGAGTTCGTTTCTGTCATACACTTTCACATACTAAGCCACGGGAGAAGCGAGGTCAGAGCTCTGGACAGTAAGTGAATCCTTCCCACAGTTGTGAGAAGACAGGTTTCATTCTTAAAATGCCGAAGTTGACATGCTAAGGAAGCCCTCTGGTTGCCGAGGCTGTCATTGTAAATCACTGAGTACTCTACGATGTGCTCTTAAAGATAAGAAGTTGGTTATATTTTATCTTACTGTTGGCTCTTAAAGACGTTTATAAATACTGACCTCTTAGATTAACTACTGTTTGTGTGAGGAGAAGTAAATTTCATTGCAGCCAATTAGAATTTGTAAGAAACTCAAGAATTCAGTTATCCTTTGACTAAGCTAATATTTCGGAATCGTGGACTCAATGCATAATTTGTTGAATTCTGATTATTAGCTTTCAGGATTGGCAAGCCCTAAGATACTGGGATGTATTAGTCAATCATAAATAATTGTCAGATGCCCAAATACAACTGAATCTGCTAGATGTGCTTGCAAATCAGTCTGTGTAGCTACTTGCCAGTTTTATCTAAAGAAATGTTACATTTGGAAGTATGGCTTATATTTCCAGAGTATTTCTTGAATCCCTCTCCACTGGGTTGTGTAATGAGATGCTTTTTTTCCCACAAATTATTTAGGTTTCTGTGGATGCCGCCCATGGGTACAGCCCCCGAGCCATCGACATGAGCAATGTTACACTGTCTCGAGATCTGCATGTAAGTAATTTTAACTTTGAAAAATATTCGGCAAATTTCATTTAAAAAAACTATGCTGTAACACTTCCCTACATAGATGTAACAGCATGAATTGCTTGAATGTGGTGACCCTATAAAGGGTCCATGGAATTTACAGACTATGAACCCTAGTCCCTTAATTCTGTGAAAGGTGATAGAACTTTTTCTGGGGTGTTTCCTCCAAATAACATTTTCTTGAAAGATCATACCTGCGTAAAAGTCCCCATGTGATTAAGTATCTGTATGTGAGAAGAGGCTGGACCAGTAATTTGTTATGCTCTGCCTGGATCACCTTAATGACTCCTTAAATAAGATGTATTTTAAGTTGTCTATCCAGGGAAACCAATGGCATTTTGCTTCCTCCAGCCCTAGTTTTATCTGTTCTCCTTTGTCACGAAGGAACCCACTTTGAAACTGACTTGAGTGAAGGATAAAACGTATTGGCATGGAACATGAGTCAATGGGTCAGTAGAAAGAGCAGACTGTGACACTGGCAGTGTTAGTATATTGTTCCAAGAGAACTAAGTATATGAAGATCACGATCTGTGGGTTATTAAACTGTGTGGCTTGCCCTTTGTCATTGCTCTGGGATGAATGTATTAAAATGACACAGTAAACGTGAAAGTCACCAGTGAAAGGAATCTTAAAGACACTCCTATCAAAATCCAAAGGCTACAAGCATTGGTGAGGCTCCTCCCAGGTCCCTCACCTAGTTTGGGGCAGACCTTGGTGTAGCCTGTCCCTCTGGTGTTCTTTGCATTCATTGTTCAGTAAGGATTATGTCCTCCTTTAAAGCTTTGGAAACTAAAATAAGAACTTGTGAATAAAAATATTTTCAAAATCCATAGCTGATTTGAAGTTTCATTATTAAGTCAGTAAAATATGTGTCTTTACACATTATAAACAATGACCATTCCCATCAAATCACCCCTGCAGTTTACTACTCTGTAATTTCACAAATCATTAGAACCCCCTGAAATTCAGATTCCAAATAAGAAGTAGCTGTGTTTAGTGACCTTCTGATGTATTTTAGCACTAACACTCAGATTTATTCATTTAAGCATGTTTTGATGTTAGCCTGTTGGAAAATGAAGTTATCCTTTTCTAGTATCCTTTTCGAGTGACTTAGTTGCTACGTATTTTGTTAACTTAAGGCGATGGCAGAAATGATGGCTGAAAACTACCATAATACATGGGCGAAGAAAAAGAAGCTGGAGCTGGAGGCCAAAGGTAAGATTTTCTAAAAATCTTTGTTAAAAAACAGCGCGAGTTTGACGACATGAGTATGTGCTGAGGATACAGTGGTCTTTTTAGCGCGAGACCGCTTCCTGCCGTTCTTGGAGTGGTTCAGCTACGGCTGTGACGGCCTCAGGGTGGAAAGTCCAGTTTCCTGACTGCTGGTGCGTATTTCCTCATGCCTCAGGATCTTCATGGCGCCCTCTTGCCCTCTGCAGCGTGTGGGTGTCTGTACTTCTTTTCCTCGTACCCGAGGTGTCCTGTTCATTACCTGGACCTCCCTCACTGATTTCCAGCCCTGCTGAAATACTTCTCTTACTCCTTTCCTTCAATCTCCGGCCCCGGCCTCTTTGTTTTACTCAGTCCAGTTATGTTATTGTCTCTTACATGCTTTTGCTTGCTCTTTTCTGCTGATTTTTAATACTAAAATGACCTAATATTCTCTTAGTCATTTCTTAAATCTTTTCTTAATTTATTAAGAAAAGTATTTTTCTGAATATAAATATATGTTTGCATAGTTTCTTCAATTTAATGCATCCTGTACTGATGATCTCCTTCGTTGTTATGTATTCAGCATTAGTTTATACACACGTTGTTTATAGCGTGTGTGCACGTGTGCGTGTGAGTGTGGGCGCTCTTTAGTTACTTCCTATGTGGGTTTCTTTCCCCCCATGAGAATGTAACTCGAGTTCAGGGCACAACTATTAATTTTGTCATCCTTATTGTATGGTTCTGGGCACCAGGAAGCTCTCTCTTTCTTACTTACTGATACAGGTAAGAACGTAGAGGGAGGTAATTTTGAAGGGTGGGGATATTTCGTAGTGAAAGGAATGGCTGTAGTGTTGGAGGATGGTACCAGACAGCAAGCACTAGGAAACAGAGTAACACAAATTAGAACTGGTCACAGAAACAGAGGGGGTTCCATGTACCAAGACCGCCTATTCCCGAATTTGGCTCAGGGCTAGACCTGTTTTTCTAGAAACATTCCATAAATGTTTGGAAAATGAGTGATCAATTGTTTGGCCGGCTGACGGATGGATGCATGAGTGGGTGGGTAGCTGAGTCATGGAGTCGTAGGTTCTTTGCTTAGTGACACTCTCGAAGGGGCATTGTCCGCATGATTAGTAGACAGTCACTGTTGGTTACATGAGCAGACTGCATGAGGAAATCCTGCTCTTTTCCTCCAAGTATGTTTTAGGCACTGTGGTTTGAGTAAAATTAAAAGTAAGAAGCAGTTATCCTACTATTTCTCTTGTAAATAAGTGTGCTAGAAAATCATCATGATTCTTTAATTTCTGGGCCAGCCATTAGGTGACCTGCAGTCAGAGTTCCCAGTGAAGCACATGGCTCATCAATGCGGCATCCACACCTCTGCATCCGGCTTGCGTTGGTCCAAGTTCATACCGTGTTCATAGTGGGGGGGACAGCACAGTTGCAGCAGGCTGAGCAGTGAGGTGGTGAAATGAGAGACTGAGTTGTTTGACACTAAAACAGCTGGCCCCTGAGGAAGGTGTTGAAATATACAACCCTGAATCTCGGCTTTTACATTACCAGCAGAGGAGAGAAATGAGTCTTGGAGTCAGAGACAGGCTGGAGACGGTAGACGGTTTCAGGACAGAAACCACAGGTGTCTTTTCTCCCCTGTGTTCTCTCCCTGAAGGCTTTGGCAGCCACCTCGTGTCCTTACGACTCTGCTCCTGCTTCCAAAAACGATCTGGGTGGGAGTGTGGGAGGTACCTGCCGCCTACCACGTGTCTTGGTACTGGTGGGGTTTGTGTGTGGTGAGAGAGGAGAGATGAGAAATGGCAGGAGAGAAGCCGGGGAGCAGGAAAAGGACACAACTTAGAGCCCTCGAGCCACTCCGACGCCTCGACAGACAAGAGCGTCCTGCTAAGGCTGCCCACTTAGGCTCCATCCCCGCCAGGCCCTTCTGTCACCCCGACATCTGTGTGCAGAAGGTGTCTCTGCTTTAGAAACGTCTGGAGAAAATCTCCTCCTCTGCTCTCCAGGTTGTCTGCCCTCCCATGCCCTCTCCATCCGCTTTAGGAATCTGGACGAGTTTGGGGCATATCAGGCGGTTTAAGGAGTATATCATTAGTAGAATAAAGGAGTGAAAGTCCAGGAAATATTACCCATGCTCCCCGGTGAGTGAGGGATGTGAAGACCTAGCCGTCCTTTTATCCATTTTTCCCGTGATCACACCACGTACTCTGGGCTGTGATGACCTGTCATGAAGACAAGGATGCTTCTGGTATCCAGCAGTTTGACCCTTTTGCATGAGTGAGTCCACAAGGCAGAGCTGTGCATTGGAGGCAGCAGGCATCCCAGGAATTGCTGCAAATGCATCTCCTCTCAGGTTGGTGGCTCCTTACCGCCCTTCCGTGCGTATGTCACCCGCAATCAGATTGTACATGAGCTAAGAGAGGGCTAAGAGATCAAGGTCGTCGCCTGCCGTTAAGTGGCAGAGCTGAGGACATCTTTTTCCAGTCTGCTGGCCGACTTCCAGGTGCCCACCTGTCTGGTTCAGAAGGGCTTTAAACTCAGAGGGTACTTTGCGTTCTTAGGATTTTTAAAGTTTAGGCTTTATCCTCTCTCTGTCTCTTTCTCACTCTCCCCGCTGCCCTTTGCCTATTAGTGTCTGACCCCGAATCATCGTGGGCTACAAATTTAGTTGCCAGTTTCTCTAGGACTAAACGCCGTAGTGGAATTCAAAATGGGTAATGATTGCAAGGTGATT